CTTTATATAATGAACTAGAAGTAGTGTTAGTGTTGGCTCTTTGAATAGGATTTAGTACTAGTAGACAGTGTTGGTTTTGGGTGCTTGGGTCTCCCCAGTTTGGGAAGACAAACACTGAAAGGCAGAAAGCTTTTGGAAATTTTCAAGCTCTAAGGCCTTATGGTAAGCCTCTTCTATGGTCTTAAGAGAATGTAGATTCAGTTCTCTTTTCAATTCAAGTCTTAATTCATTAATGAACTTGGTGAGGGTCACCTATTGTTCTTCCCTTATATCACATTTCATAGACAAGTCCTCAAATCGGTTAAGATAATCAGGCACACTTAACGACCCTTGTTTTGGTGAGGGTCACCTATTGTTCTTCCCTTATATCACATTTCATAGACAAGTCCTCAAATCGGTTAAGATAATCAGGCACACTTAACGACCCTTGTTTCAAGTTCATCCATTGCTCCAATAATTGCCTTTTATGATATGTGGGAATATATTTTTCTTTCATTTCAGTTTTCATTTCAGCCCAAAAAGTGATGGGTGCCTCACCTAGACGCTGAATGTCCCATTGGACTTCTTGCCATTAACGCTTGGGAGACCCTACTAACTTTATCTTGGTAAAGCGAATGCATTGGGTATCAAACATGTTATACCAGTCAAAGTAGTCTTCCATATTTGCTAACCAATCTAGGAAAGCACTTGGATCTAATCTACCACCATAGCTAGAGGCATCCACTTTGACCTTTGTGATTTCACCATCCTCACGGAAATCTCTTTGGTCATCTTGAATCTGGCCTTGATGATGTGGAGGGAATCTATCCTGATGTCTATTGTGATATTGCCTATGTCTAGGGTGATCCTCAAAGTCACTCTCCAGAAATCCGTCCTAATCATCTAATTCTTGTGGGTTGTTGGTACGGTACCCACGGCCTAACATCCTATGTGATTGCATGTATGTCCCAAGTTTGGAACTTGACTCTCCCTACCCATATTCATTTGTGGTTGATGGATCCTAGTAGTTGGGGTTGGGAGAACACCCAGTTGTTGAGCACTAGAACCTATGGGTTGACCATTTCGATAATTATGCCCAATGGTAAACTCTTGGGGGTCATTCCTTGAGTCTTCAACAAGGTGATTTCCCATGGATACAAATATCTGTTTCATTAATTCAGCCATAGACTCTTTAAGGGCATTTATATCTGAACTAAGGGTTTGTATCTCTTCTTCAAAAATTGCTTTTGTTTCTTCTTGGACTTTGGTCAAGGCTTCTCTAGTAGAAAGTACCATGATGATAGGGTATTAAGGTAAGGATAATAGGATGAAAGTAAAAGGGTGCAATACCAATACAGACAAAATATCACAAATAAGTAATTAAAATTCTAAACTAATGCAAGGCACTCTTGGAAAATCTAAAATTAAAAAAAAAAATTATGCTAGGCTCACACAAGAATATAGGTGTAAGATATATATGGTAAATAACTATAGAAATAAGAGGCCTGCCTTTTTTTGAATGAAAGAAAGATGAGGCACACAATAATATGCAAGTTACTGATGGTAAGATGGTTATGTATGTATTTTCGGCTTTTACAAAATTTCTAAGGACTTGATAGTAATGACCAGCTTACTCAATAGATAGAGGAATTAATCCAAAACCCAAATGGAAGAGAATTGAATAATCAACTGTGATGTGTTTTTAAAACTCCAGCCAGAATTGAATAATCAATCCTTCGGTCTAGTGACCTCTAGCTTTTCTGAACTCAGCTACAACAAGCTCATTCCAAAGTCTCGTATGGTTACATGTGCTATGAAGTAAAGATGATGGAATTACCAAGAGAAGAGGCTGCTGTTATAGAGTGATAACACCATGGGAGACGGATGAAAGTGGTCAATTCAATCACTACAGAAAGGGAGAGAGAATAGTTGTGGACAGTGGCATTTGTTGCTTTGTTGCAGCGGCAGGGAAAACGAAAAAGAGAGAAGGAAGGGGGAAAAAGAGAGGAAAAAGGAAGCGGAGAATGAAGAAAGGATATAAGGGCAGTGCTTACTATCTGTAACAGCAGGAAAGGGGAAAAAAGAAAGAGAAGAAGAAACACAAGAAGAAACAAAGGAAAGTGGGAAAGAAAGAGGCAGTGGGAGAACAGAGAGGGGAACAACAAGAGAGGAAAAACCATTGGAGTGAGACAGGTATTGTTAAGGCTCTGTTGCTGAAAACAGAATTGGGGAAGGAAACAAGAGAAAGAAAGAAAAGAGGCAGAGAGAGAGAAAGTGAGGCAATGACTGTTGCAAGGTTTGGTTGCAGAAAATAGGACTGGGAGAAGAGAAAAAGAAGAATAGACTAAGAGAGTGGAAGAAGAGGAAGAAGATAAGAAGAGAGTGGGAGAACAAGAGAGAGAGGTAGCGGAAGAGACTAAGAGAGTGAGGGAGTGGTGGTGAGCTGCTACCTGGTTCAGCCAAGAGTTGGGGAAGACAAAGGAGCAAACAATGGAGGCGTGGGTCAGGCTCTAGTACCAAACTGATGCAGCACCACCTGTTAGAACAAAAGAAGAAGAAACAGGAGGAAGAAGAGAGAGAGAGGACAAGTTGAAGAAGAAATTTCAAAAGTTTCTATTCTTCAAAACATAACATAATATAACCCTAACATATAATGTAAATTTATAAGAAACCTAGAAACTAAAAGTTACAATTAAATCCCTACCAAATATGAAAATTACAAATAACCCCCTGCTAAGAAGAAATTTTACAATTAAATCCAAATTTTGCATTAATCAAAGTAATCTCTAAACTAATGTTTGTCTATGCCTAAAATAAGTATGAATTCTATGTGACACTTCAGTCTCAAAGCGGTCTCCATCACCAAGTGGCTGTGTGGTTCCTTGTTTCTTTTCGGTGCTGAGACGTAGTGTAACAGGTTTGTTTCCTTGTTATGGATGACTATAGTTTACTTTCCTAATTGCTTGTGATTCCTCTCTCAATGGCTTCTTCCGCTAGTGGTTCTAACTTCTAAATCAGCAGTGGTAGTACAATTAGACCTAATGTATGTCCAACTGACTACTATTAAGATCAATGGCACAAATAATGTACCATGGACCAAATCGATGGAAGTTTCTTTGATTGGAAGGGGCAAACTGAATTACATTATGGAAGACCAACCAAAGAGTAGATCTAAAGGGCACAGTGAATGGATGCAAGAAAATGCACAAATTATGACTTCATTATGGAAGAGTATGAAGAATCACATAAATGTGTCTTATGTTTATGGATACTACAAAAGAAATTTGGGAGCATGCTAGGCAATTGTATTCCGGATAGGACAATGCCCGAGAGTTTAGCAATTATATTAGGATTACTTTACTCTCCAACAGTGAGATAAAAGTGTGGAAGAGTACTATGCTTCTTTGAAGAGTTTAGGGAATGAATTGAATGTTTATCAGCCTTTCTCTATAGACTTGAAGGTACAACAAGGGCAGGGAAAACATTTGGATGATGCTAAATTTTTTTTAGGGTCGAGATCTGAGTTTGAGCCAATGAAAGCTCAAATTTTAGGAAGTAATGACCTTCCTTCTCTTTCAGAGGTGTTTTCTCACATTGAATCCACCCCACGTAGTGAGCACACCACTATGTAAGATAAATCAGCCTTAGCAGTTACCAGAGGTGGTGGTGGTGATGGTGAAGGCTTTTGTGGAAGGGGTATAGTTAGAGGTGTTGGTCATGGCTTTAGGGGCGGTCATGGTGCTTAGGGGTGCAAGTCAGGTGGGTTGGGCTGGGTTTAAGCTCAATCCAAGCCCAACCCTAAGAATTGGACTTAAGTCTCAAGCCTGGCCTAAGCTCAAACTAAAATTTGATGCATTCTGTTTAGGCTCAACTCCGAGCCAGGCTCACGTTTGTAAATCAGCCCACACTAAAGTTTAATATAAATATATGTATATATGTATGCATGTATGCATATATGTATGGTTTATCAAAAGAAAATATGCATATATTTATGTACATAGACAGGTCAGGCTTGGGCTGAGTTCAGGCTACCTTAGTGTTAGGCTTGGGCCTGGCCTGAAAAATAAAAAAGTCCAAACTTTTGGGCCCAAGCCTAGCTCGAGGACCGAAAATCCAAGCTCAAGCCATGTAAAATTGCGGGTTGGGTTGGTTTGGGATCAAGTTGCACCCGCCCAAGTTGCACCCCTAGTGGTGCTAGTAGGGAAGCAAGAGGTGGTGGTAGGAACAGTAGTGGGCATGGTCAAGTCCGAGAGTGCCCATTTGGGACTAGATCATACAGTTAATTTTTGAGATAGGATTAGCTGAACACAATAGTTGTTCAGCAGGCTGTGGAACCAAAAATAGTGCTCCACACCTTGATAAAATACATGGGACCCACAAACATTCAACCCCTCATTGTGGGCCCCATGTATTTAAAACACTGGTTTGGGGCGCTATCATTGGTTCCACTGCCTGCTACGCAGTTAAAGTGTTCAGCTAAACTGAGTTATTAATTTTTGTTACGATTTGCATGGCCCACCCTCTTCTTAGGCTAATCATGCCATAGTAGAAGGTGGCATTAATAAGAATGTTCCTATTGATGAGTCACCTACTGCAAGAGTGGGTAGGGACAAGGAGTTCATTTTCCATCACCCATGAGTATGAGAGACTTTGCCTTGTTGGATTTTTCAGGATTATAGATAATGAAACAAGCTTGTTCATTAAAAAGCATTGTAATTAATATGTCAAACAAAGCCAAGGTTCTGGGTATTTATTATAAATACCTGAGCATAATGGCCTTTCCCCATGCTTCTAACAACATCATCAGCTAGTAACTGTAGATGTGGGCTGTCACTTGTGGTCTCTACCGTGGCCATGCTTGAACTTAACTTCACAGAATAGTGTAGCTAGCATTGTCTCCTTTTCACTCAATTCCAAGTAACCAATCCATTACAGTTTCATATAAACTGGATATTTTCATCTTATTTTGACATTTACTATCCTTGAGGTTATAACATGAGAAGTGCTTATTGTGATAATAGGTGGCAAGGCTGCAGGAGCAGTTGCAAAGAGAAAGAGATCTCAGAGCATCTTTGGAAGCTGGGCTCGATAAGCCAATGGGGCACTCAAATGTTTCAGTCAACTTAGATAAGATGGTTAGTCTAGAAATCAATCAGAATTTCTCCCCCATATTGATCTTTATTTCATATGCACACCAGATTTATAATTTTAAGTGTGCTAAAGACAAAGGCAAAACTTGAGGAAATTGCTCTGACAGAACAATATGTTGTTGATTTGAAGCAGAAAGTTGCTGATCCCCTTGTTCAACTTAATCAACAAGAACAAAATCATGGGTCTGTGAGTGGCTCATGCTATGAACACCAACTCGCTTCTAATCATCAAGCTTCCTTGTAAGTTACTTCTCTTTTGTCCCTTTCTGCTGTCTTCACCCTTTTTTTTCTAAACTGGGACATGTTTTAAACTTCTTTTTTGTAAAAAGTTGAATAACTAAGAGAGAACAAACAAAATGTCAGCTTAAATACAGTGAGAGACTTTACAAAACCACCTTACATACAAAAATGATAAAAACACTGCATTCAAAAAAAAGGTAGCCACTGAAAAGTGAGAATTTGGAGGGATTTCCCTGAAACATCTTTTCCACAGACAACCAAATTTCCATTGCTATTGCTGTTTGAAGAACTCAGTCATCTTAAGAAACTGTACTCTCAAAGAATATCAATCCTTTCCTTTCATACTGTCCATTATCCATATTATTGCTGAAGGGATGGCTTTCCAGGCTATCTTCCCTGTTTTCTTTAGACCATGCAAATCCCTGCTTGTTAGGATCTCAAGTAATGTTCTAGCCTTTCTAGGAAGGTAGGAAGCACCAACAGAAATTGAGACAGCTGACGTATTGAATTGTCTGTTGATACAATAGGTATTTTGTTGAAATGTTAAGTAATTACATAAAAAAAAAGTGAAACAGTAAAGGATGAGATCAATTCAGAAGCACTATTTTATTTGTTAATATATCAGGGAGAATTCCATTCGCTGATGTATGTTTACTCTATCCACCCTCCAAACACATTGAGATAATACTGTAATGCTCTTTAGATGTATTTGTGGCCCTTGAAGAGCCATACGCACCTGAAGTCTGTTTTAAATATTTATCACTTTAAAATTAGAATGCTTGCATGAATAGTATTCAAGTTGCCTTCTTTGATTTATCCTTCAGTATGTACCTACTTATAATTAGGAATTCAAGTGTGGATGAGTTGACTTTTCTAACCCTTATCTATTTTCTCTTTTTTTGGTGGATTGTACCTCCACAAACTTTCTAAAATATTTCCTTGATACAGAACTGGAAGACAGAAAGATGCTGAAATGCAAGAAACAGAACACCTTCATGAAAGGTCAACAAAAAGTGAGGTATGCCTTCATTATTCTGGCTTATTGTTTATTTAATATCCTAATCTTTTATAATACAAGTTAAATCCGGTTTATACTTTGTAATAAATTTATCAAAACAGAAAATGCATCTATCTATACTATATACTTATAATTGCAGTTGTCTATGTTTTCTTACTTCACATTGCTTCCCAACACCCTTAGAATTTTGTGGTTTTTTTAATTAAAATAATAAAAAAAATCAAACATGGGACTATTTATTTTTTTGGTAAAAGGATCTATTTAAATTAGCCCACAATCAATTCAGTTCCCAAAACCAAACATGGGCATCTTTTAAAACCGGAAAAAAAAAAGAAAAAACATAGGCATCTTTTAACACCAGCCTGTGCATCGCACAGGTCTCTTATAGTATATGTATACATCTAGCCTTGTACATAAAAATAAATACAACAGCTTAGCATAGTTGTACATAAGAATCAATACAGGTCTCTTCTTGGAGGGTCGTCTCACCAAAACGCCCACATATATGTAAGACACCATACAATATTTTATTTTTATTTATGTTGCTAATAGTAGTGCAATAGATATTATTAGACTAAACTAATCATATATTGGGTTTATAGTGTTAATATCGTTATTCTTATACTAGTTTCTTTTCGTTATTTTCTTATTGAGACACAAGTCAGTGACATGGTCTTGAACCCATTAGGACTTTAAAACCTGGATTGATAAGTAAAAAATAACTTGAAGAGTTTATCCAATTGGCACACAAGAATAATCAATAGGACTTCTTCTTCTTCCTAGGACCAAAACAAGGGCTCAACCCTTATGTTTTCTATGTTTCTTTCCTTATTTTTCTACTCATAAATATGTTCACTTTATATCTATTGCTATGGGGTTTATACTTATTTCATGAGAACTATGGTGATTGTTAGTTAAAGATCACTACTTATTACTATAAAACCTAGGGATCTACCCTAGGATTTACAATTTTTTTTATTTTGAAAAACTCATCGCCTAAAGGCACTCCCCTAGGGATCTACCCTTGATCATCTCTTCCTTGCACAAAGAGATGATCAAGAAAATTAAAAAAAAAAAAAAAAAAAAAAAAAAAAAAAAAAACGGAAAACTCAATCAGGACATACAATAAATTTCAATTAAGAAAATTAAATCTACTATCAACTTAGCCATCCCAACCATTTGTGGTTGGCTACAGGAATCCTGTCCTTTCATTTTTCTATATCAGGAACCAACTAAGAAAACCAGTCCTACAATGCTTTGTGAAAACAGAACGGTTGAAATAACTACAAAGTTAGGAAAGAGCTTCTCGTTTTTAATATAGATAATGCAGTATTTAGACATAGAGATCTTTAGCTTAATAGGAATTTCATTAATGAGAATTAGGCTGTCTCCTACTTGTGGTATGACCAGACTTACTGACCTTATTTTATCCTCCTACTTATTTTTTAAATGTATCTTGGTTGTTTCTCATTGTTTGATCTAGTTTAGAAACTCTTAGTTTACATTCTTAGGTCCTGCTTTACTGTTTGTTTCTGTAACTCCTTATAGCACGTTACCTCTGGGTTATACCTTACAAAAGGACAGAATTTTGAGATCCAAACCTGCAGTTTTATCCCCTACGGGTCCAAGTTTATGATTTCCAAACAGTCCCTAACAGTAAATACTCTTGTTCATCCCTTTGATTTTGGATATAAATAACAAAATAACATATCAATATCATAGATAAATTTTCTAATAATAAATTCCAATTGCCATTTAGAAATGTGTATCTGAAATGCTCATCGTCCATACTAACCCCAGGGATGAACACCTTCAATGTAACAACAGGATACTGATTTGGTCAGAACAGACAGTTCAAATATGAAGATTCAAGGATTACCATCCGTAACAAACAAACAACTGCCTCAGATGGTAAAACTGGATTCCGCAAGTTCTAGCAATACCAAATCTGTAGGGGTCCCTTCCACTTCATCTACTATTGGGCCACATGTAGCTGGAAATGCAGCTTCATCTAACCCCAAGAAGTCCAGAGCCAATGATGAGGTAGCTTATTGTTTTTTCTCTAGTCTTCCAGTTGTATTCCTCTGGAAGATGAACCCAGTAATTTGGTTTTTAAGTTCCTGGTATGATTTCTCGTTGCCTCAAGGCTTTTGAGGTAGATAGTACTGTATTACAAGTTCCTTCAATATATTTATATTGGTTGTTCAATACTTTTAAAGGAAGAGAAAAGTAGAAAAAAAAATGTCAGATTGACTAGGAATGCCTCTAAATGATGACAAAATAAATCTACAATTTTTAGATGGTTTGATCATGTGCAAACAAACCATCAGTAGAACCACAAGGGACTACATTGCTGCAGATTGGGTGTTCAGATCAGGGGGTTCTGAAAAAGGATGCTGGTTGAAGCAGTTGCAGTTTACAAGATTTACATGTCTATGTATTCGTGTAAGGCATTGCTTAAGAACAGATATGAGAAAAACAGGATTAATGAAGTCAATCCCAACACTGGGGTCAAATTACCTATTCTTTGATGTGTGTTTTGCCCAATCCTGTTAGTTGTTTGAAGAAATTAAGAGAACAAGAGTAAACAGTTCTTACACAATTTTATATTCATGTATTTTATTCTTATATCATATAACAATGGTAAATTTTAGAGCATGCACCAAATTTAGGTAATCAATCTTTTATAGTATGTTTCATCAGGTTTTCTTCCTTTATTTTCCTTTCCTTTTTATCCTCTCCGTTTTCTTTGTTTTGTAAGACCTATCTAATTTGTGATATGATAGGGTTACAATTCACTCTTTATTGTGCATCTGTTTCTGCTAGCCTCGCCTATGCAAAGAACTGATATTTCTGAAGCATGTTTTTGTCGATGTCATGAAAAGACTTTTCTAATTCAAGCTTCTTTACATAAACGAAAACAGATCAATTGCCAATTGGATGGTCTAACTCTAGGGATTTTCTATGTTCAACAGAACATTAACATGGTTGGAGAAGACTGTGACAACATGAAGTCGCAGGATTTACCGTCTTCTTCAAACAAGCAGCAGCCTCAAAAGCATCAGTTGGATACAACAATTCAAAACAGTATCAAATCTATAGGAGCCTTTGGTTCATCTATTGGGGATGTAATTGGATCAATTGCTTCAAATGCTAAGAAGTCTGGTGCAAGGGGTGAGGTAAGTCTCTTCATTAAATCAGGATGCTAGTCCCATTGTTGTTTTGTAAGCAACACCTCAAGATGTTTTAGTATTTCAGGCAATAAGTAGGATTTTCTTATTAAAAATGGCATAAGCTAACTCTACATTGCGAAGGCTCCCTCAATATCTCCTGGATTGGTTGATCAGAATCAAATAAAGTTGCGCTGACTCTGTATCTTATGGTTACTAGTTACAACAGGTAATTGTGCCTGCATCCAATGCTCTGACAAAGCTGACAACACGGCTCAACTTCTTGAAGGAAAGGCGTATCCAGATTGCAAATGAACTTAAAATTCTGGAAAAGAGTCAAGGATCAGAAGGTCAACCGCTTGGTCCACCTAAAACCAATCCCAGATAATGCAAGGTCTGACATGTACAGAAAATTACTAAATTGTGACCTCTCCTGTATATGCCTTCTTCCCTCGCTACATGTTTTGCATCATTTGTATAGATAAGGTGACTATATGTGTTTTTGTCAGCTATCATTTGTTTAGAAAGGACAGGAATGACAAGAAGTCAAATTTGTTGCTTTAGGGTTCGCTTAGGAACCTTAAGGTTGCTTGTTGAGCCCCTGGGCTGAAATCAGAGGTGGTGATGTACAGGTTCTGTCCTTGATGTAAATTTGAGATTTCTCTTCTACATTGATTTTCAAACATGTAGTTGAAGGATGAAATAGAAAATAGCAAGCCACGATGGCCAACATGCACTAAGTAATTAAATTTCTTGGTGTCAGATGTACTCAAATTAGTGGCTAAGTGCATAAGAACCTTACCACCATATGACACTAGTCACAACAGTATTTGTTGAAGGGTAAATTACTTAATCCCTTCCTGTGTCTCACGAATGCTCTAACCTCCCCCTACACTACGGCCTTTCAAAAAACTCCCTCAACGTTTCGGGGAAATTGTACGAACAGATCCCTTCTGTTTGAAGTGACAGATACGATGAAATTTCTACTGCCCCCATCATTATATTTTTAGATAGAAAAGGTAAACACTTTTCTTGTGCCAATTTCATCCTTTAAATAAGCAGGCAAATTACCAATTTTTTGTTCATAAAAATAAGCAATTAACGATCATGCAATACTAATCTCTTTAATCAGATCAGAATATGTACTACAGATGAGGGTAAATCTCTTAAAATATCCTAAAGTTATAGGAAAATGACTAACTCTACCCTATTATTTAAAAATTGCCTTAAAGTATCCCGAGTTTTCTGACAATTTACTAAATCCTCCCTACTGTTAGTGCGTGTTAGCATTCCATCACAATCTATTCCCATGTGACACTATGTAATGTATAGAATTTTTTTAAAACCCAATATTAGTCTTTGTGGTCAATTTTGCCCTCCATTATTCTTCAAATTTTCAAATAAAACTCAACATCCACCTTGTGGGTAAAAACAAATTCTTTGGTTAAAGGTCAAGAACACAGAAGGGAATTTCCCCATCATTTCTTGTGATATTGAAGCAAATGGACATGGAACTAGTAAGAGCTAATGGCTAAGATGGTATCCTCAAAATCTAGTTTTTGATGGGAGATGGATGATCCCTCCTATTCACCTATTTAACAGGTCTTTGTAGCAACAAAGAAGGGAGATGATCTCATCTTGTTTTTGGGTTGTAGATGGTTTCACTGGATATCTCTATCTGTTGAAAAGCTTTGCCAACGGAGAAAGTTTGTCATGGAGAAGACCAACAAGGTGTTATTGTCAAATCAATACCAGTAAGGTATTATTCAAATGTTGTAGGTTTATTCAAATGTTTCATTTTGAAAATTTAAAGAAGAATAATGGGTGAAATAATCTTTTCCTCCTTTCTGTTAATAGATACTAACGACAAAGGAGGATATAGTCAATTATTAGAAAACTTGGGGTATTTTAAGGGAATTTCTAAATAATAGGGATGAGAACATTAATTTCCTAAAACTTAGGGATAGTTTAAGAGATTAACCCTATATATAAACAAAGGTGGTGTTTGGCACGCCTTTTTGAAATGTCTTTCAGTCTACAAGAAGCACAAAAGACCAAAAACTTTTCTTTTCCCACTTGGTATCACATAAACCAAAAGACTCGAAAATGAGTGCATGGAAAGACTGAAAAAGTAAAAAATCGGGAAGCTTCAAATGAAGTTGTTGGTCTTTCTACATTGAAAATAGCCTTTCTAGTTGTTTTTAATAGCCCGATAGACCACAATGCGAACCAAATAGTCTTGGTCTTTAAAGACAAGACCCCAAAATTTTAGTGTCTTCTCGTCTATTATGTTGTTGAAAGATCTACCTAGAAAGACTTGTCAAACACCCTCAAAATCTATGAGCTTGATTTAAAACGTGAAGACCGATTATGGGAATCCAACGTACAACGTTGGGAATCCAAGTAAATATCCAGAAAAGAAAAATTAAGCTTGACTCATGCTTCTTATCATGCCAAAACTAAGTGAATGACCCCGTACTAACTACGAGGAATCAGTAATGTTAAATTTACATAATGGAATCAATAATGTTAAATTTATATTTATTAATACTTTAATAATTATTAAATTTTAAGAAATATTTATTTCAAAAAATAGTTTTTCAATAATTATTAGAATATGGATAGTTTTCTTTTGTTATGATACATAGAGGGTTAATGATTAATTGAGATTGATAAAACCTAGGTAGAAGTGATTGTGGATAACCACTTTTACATTTTATGCATTTTTTATGAATGGATTGAAAATGGTGGTAGTGGGTTGTAGACTTTAACAGCAACTTCTCAGAAAATGCCACGTGCCTAGCTTTTCAGAAAAATGAGAAGGTCGTGTGTCTAAATGGTGGGGGGTTATAACTTGATAGTGGGTTGTAGGCTTTAGTAGGAATTTCTCAAAAATTGTCACGTGTCTATCTTTCTAGAAAATGAAAAGGCCACTTGTCTGAATGGTGGTAATAGGCTATAGACTTTAGCAGCAACTTCTCATAAAAATGCTGTGTCTAAATTTAAAACGCCACATGTCTGAATGGTGGAGGCTGTATCCTGAAAGTCTTATACATAAAGTCTTATACATATATATATATATATATATATATATATATATATATATATATATATATATTAAACTGGATTTCCGTTGCCAACTGCAAAACTTGAACAATTAGAGATGTTGTTCACACCTTTTTTAATCCTCAAACTTTACTCCTGGTGGAGGGAGGCCACCTTTTAATCCTCAAACTTTACTCAAAGAATAGAAACCTAGGAGGGGAGACGTAAAAGCCTTACCCCTCGAGAAAATCTATTTACATAGAGATCATTAGTATTATAAACATTAACTACACATAAGATTAGATTATCTCCAAAATAAGCCAAAACAAACCCTAACTAAACCACAAAAAGGGAATACCACGACCATCATGTTGTAGAAGTCTTTTGAGTGTCAACTGGAAGATCCTCGACGGAGTTATAAATCAGATTGCTAGTTGAACTGTTGCCCCTCTCGAAAAGATTATCTACGATCTGATTCACTTCTCTGTAAATATGTACAAATTGTAAATCCATATCTACCTAGTAGTTCTCCATGATGCCCATCCAATACCATAGCTGCCAAGGTGTTGTACAACACTTCATGACCACATCATGTTAGATTTTTGAATCCATTTCAATCCACTGATTTGTAATTCCCATGGATCAAGCTATTTCAACTCCTTCAAGCATAGCTTTCACCTCAGCATTTAAGCTTCGCATTGTTCCATACCAGTTTTGAAAAGCCACTACAAAGTTGTTCCTACCATCTTGAATTATTCCTCCCCTCCACTCGAACCTGGATTTACTCTTGAAGAATGAAGATCCGCTCTAAAGAAATCCATTGGGGCTGGTTGGATGTAATAGCACATTTAATCTAGAGCACTTCAATGGTGGAATTTTAATACCCAAACCATTTAGGGACAGCCTCTATATTGGGGAAAGGAAAGAGGTTTCCTTACCCAGGTCTGCAATTTCCTAAACCCAACATTCTATTTTCCAAATCACCTATTGGGAACATGTAAAATTCCCTTCCATCCGCCTCCGGCATCGCTCTTTCCAGATTTCCCAAGGAATCAAACAGGATAAAGACTTCACCGTTCTAGCCAATTAATTGATTATGTGCATTTCTAGATGCATGCTGATATCCAGCTATTTATCACTACCCCAGTGGGCTTATGAGGAAAGAAGTCAATTGCCAACAAAGTACTAAAATGAGACCAAAATTTTCTTCGCCAAGCAACTTCAAACAAATAAGTGATCCATATCCTCAATTTGAGAATTTTACAATAGCAGCATTTCGACACCATGGAGATCCCTAGAGTCTGAATGTCAAGGTCAACCCTGACTTTGTGACTTTTGCTTTCATCAGCCACCGAGTAAAGAAGCTAATCTTCAAGGGTATCATATGGCTCTAAATGGCCTCCCCCCAGGCGACCTCTCCTTATCTATTTCAGACCAAATTCCAAGTTGACTTGGTAGTGAACACCATCATTGCTAGCTATCTAGATCAATTTGTCTTGTCTGTTGGATAATCGAATCCTAGAGCCTCTAGTTAAATTAATCATTTCGTCATTCGGCCCGAGATTTTGTAATTACCAGTCTTCATTCTCATCTAGAACGTTTTGAACTTGAACCTGAGTATCTATTTTGTCCATTCTGGAAACCATATCAATCAAAGGTCCCATATCTAGCCACTTATCTAACCAAAGATTAACATATCCAGTGCCTATAAGTAGCCACTTAGAACCTTTCACCACTTCTTCAATGAACCCAAAATTAACTTTCCAGGTCCAAGTTGCTCATAGGGGGTAAGAAGAAATGTAGAAGTGTTGATGTTTTAGATATTTGGCTTTAAAGAACGAAGCCCATAGAGAGTGCTGAAATAACGTTCTCCACAAAGCCTTAAGCGTGAGGGAATGGTGGATATCAACTAACTTAATTTTGAACCTGTAACCCTCCTTCCTTGAATGGGTAAGACAGATTCTGCCATTTAACCCATATATGTCATTTGTCTTGCTTCCCAGCCGATCCAACCAAAGAAACTCCGAAAAAAATCTTCTCTATACACCCTAGTACTCCCATTGGTGTGGCTACTACAGCAATTAACATATGAATAGGAATCCTGGAGAGCACATGTCGGATAAGAATCATTTTCCCTCTAGCGGAGAGAAGCCTACTTTTCCATCCTGTCGTCTTCGTATAAATCTTTGAGGTTAATTCCTCAAATTGAATGGACTTCAGTCTTCCCTTACTAATTGGGACTCCCAAGTATGTAAAAGGGAGTTTGTTACAAGTAAAACCTGTAATTCCCTCTATTAATTATCTGAATCTAGGCTAGTGAAGCTTTTGCTAATGTGAAGAAGCAGCTCTTCCTTTTGTTTATAAGCTGACTATAGCACTTTTCATATATGTGAAGCACTTCCATTCCTCTCTCCAGAGCCCTTTCTTTTCCTTGGTGAAGACTATGGTGTCGTCTGTGTACAAACAATGAGTGACCAAAGGGCAGCCTCGAGAGGAAACATAGCAGTTCTCTATCATTTCATTAATTCCCACATCTAATCAGAGCTTGATTCAGAACTTCCTCAGCCAATATGAAGAGGTAAGGGGAGAGAGGATCTCCTTGCCGCACCCCTCTAGTAGATTTAAAGAAACCAATCACCACTCCATTCCATAATATAGAAAACCAACAGTTTTGAACTGTTTTCATGATGAGCTCCACCCATTTTGCACTAACAACAAATCTAAGAAGCACCCATTTTGAAGGAAAACCAGTTTAATCGATCATAAGCCTTTGTTGTGTCCAATTTTAAAACCACATTTCCTCCCTGCACTTTTCTATCAGTATCAGCCACAAGTTCCTGAACAATAGATATATTATCCACAGTATTCTTCCCTTTAATAGAGGCACCTTGTTCTAGAGAAGCCAACTTAGTACAAATTTTGGCAATTATTTTATAATATCCAAAATAAATTGTTCAAATACAATGCCCAATTGTTCAAATAGAAAAGATTAAAAAAAATAAAATTCTCAACAATACAATGTCCATTTTCCATGTAATCATAGAAGAGGAGGTTTCCATGTAGGAAGTGAATATACGGCTTGCAAGCTCAAACTCTCTTAAGTTGTGTTGATATTGAGTGTTAAGGCACTTAATGGGTGTGAATAGTCATGTCCATGTGCAGTAAGACAAGTGTTGGAGAACCTGAAATGAAAGGGAACAAAATCAAATAAGCATTTGAAGGGGGGGGGAGTTAAAACTAAGAAGAACGCAAGTGTTGATATCTTTGAAGTAGACCTGAATGCAAAATGCTAATCCCAATATATTGTTGGCTAGCCAATGCTTCTCTTTAGCTTACCACTTGAAGAATCTCAACAACACGTGGCTCCTTCAGTCTCCAAGGAAGATCTTTTGCAAGGGCCTGCATACAAACAGGCAACGTTATGACAAACAAAAGGAGCTGAATTCCTGCTAATCAAGTTTCTAGAATACGAAAGAAAACATGCCCGTCTCATTTCTTCAAGATAATAGAACCATTTTTGTCCACATCAATTGCATCAAATTGATCTTTAAGATCAGCAAGCTCCTCTTCATCAAGTGTGCTAGCCAAGGCCTGCAAGATGAAATAAATGCAGACATAAGAATAATTGAGCTCTTTAAGTGCAAGTCATGGTGAAGATATTTGGTCCTTGAGACAATGAGCTCCAAGTTTCCAACCAAGAAAATCACTTCTTACCCTTAGTGCAAACTGCTTCAACCGGCTGTACTTCACAAATTGCCGCATATTAGATAGCACTGATATATCCACAGGGATCTCTGAGGCATCTCCCCCTTCTCTGACCCAGGGGTGTGCTAGAAAAAATGGCAATGTCAGGAAGAAGATTACATACAACCCAAGCAAAAAGATGTGAATCATGTGATATATGCAAAGAATGAGTCTCACCATCTGGATACATTTCCTACTTGCTACAAATTACTAAATGCCATAAATTTTAAAGGTTTCTTAAGTCATTTCTATGGGAAATTTATTTTCTCTTTTTTCTTTACTGTTTCTGTGGAGGGGACAGTATCATATATTTCTTTGACACACAACTAGCGATTCATGACTACTATGCATTGCCCTACTGCTCTTAATTCAGAAAAATAGTTGCTGAAATCTAATTAGAAAAGGTATCCAAGTCAAACTACAAAACAAATACAAAATTTGAACGATCTAATTAGTCGGTTGCATTCAATGGGGCTACACAAAAGGGAGGATATCCCATCCCCCAAACCTCATAAGCCCCCGACCACAGTGAAGGTGGCAGGATCCCAAGTCTCTGCTACAACCAACCAGGGACCTTATAAACTGAATCAGTTGGAACCCCACCCTCCATGCATGTGGGTACAAACCATTTGAAAAAGAGAACAAAGTTATGCCACTTTCCTCTTTTTTCTAAGAAACCCTAGCTCCCATAGCCCATATGATTTATTTTCTTCTTTCAAATTGTTTGAATTCACATTTTAAACCCAACATTTTCCTTTCACATATTTATCCTTCAAACTTCACTTACTTAAAGGTTATCTCATAGTCATCAAAGTCTGTGATGCCTGGATATGTTTGGACATAAGTGGACAAGATATCAGGTTAGAAAATCGGACTAAGATTGAAGTTCTTGCCATGGTATGGCAATCATGTATAGGTCTTTGAATAACTATGATTGTGTTTGGATTGAGGTGCAGAAGTCAAATAGTGGAATGGATTCCATGGTTCTACGAATAATGTAAAGACATCTACGTCCAATTCATTCTATTATAAAATGAACTGACAAAAAATGCAGCACAGCATCCACTACTTCACATATTCTGCTTCCCCTTTTCAGATCTGAACAACAGAACATGAAAGGTATTGGATTCAAGAATCCTTTTCTATCCTCAATTTTCATTTCCATTATAATCTAAAGACAGACTTGGTGGAAAAAATTCATATTTCACTTTTTATCAACAACGGTAATCAATTAGATTTATTAATTTAGTGGCAAACATGCAAAAGTTAGTGTCAGAATATGATAGAATCGCATACATTCCCTCTTGCAGAATACGAATGAGCTCTTTTAGAATTGCACTTCATAAGAAAGTTCTCTCCATGCTCATGTAGCCTACCACAGAAATAAATGCAAAGGAAATATGTGTACTTGGTAAAGTCTAACAAAGAATTCCATAGAACTGTTTTAAATCTTCAGTACTGTAAGATAATAAATTAATTATACAATATGTCCATCAGCATGTGCAATAAACAGGCATGAAATCCTCATAATTACCTGGTAAAAGAAAGGGCTCTGCCTTTTAACAGCTGAAATCAAATCATATTTTGTGCATCTAAGAGCCTCTGAAAACTTTTCATCAATATTTTTTGATAAAGAGATGCCTAAGTCAAGCTTGTATGGCTCTTCAGGATACAGTCTGTTCCAAATTTCTTTAGTTTTCTTTGTGGAAGCACCTTGAATGGTTGACACAACATTACAATTGTCAAGGATCCTCCCATAAAATTCCTCACAGTCTGCTTTGTACTGGACCTGAGTAACAAAACCAATGAAGCCAGATTTGAAAATTTTATTATACACAATTTTAAAAGGAAAAAAAAGGGAAAAATTATCTTGCAAAGATATACTGGGTTGAGCCTATGACAGTGCCAGATCCATTCACAATCAAGAGGCACAACCAAAGGGCCTTCTGAAATCCAAGGCTCATCTTGTTTTGCAAGCAAGGGAAGCCAGCAAGCCTTGTACCTGAAATTTTACACATCAGAATTCAGTCATAGGGGTCAAACATGCAATTGCAGTATTCACATAATCTATCTTCCTAGAATGAAGTAAAAATAGTAATCAACAGTGGAGATTGAGAATAACCAATATTTATATTGAAGGTTCAACAGTTGAGGTCTGCATCTACTGAAGAACTTTCTTTCCTTTTCTTTCACATTTGTAGGCAGGGTGCAATTAGGGTTTCATGAATGGTACTGCCCAAGTCCAACTATGTAACAGGGATAAAACCTTGTCTGCTTCTCCAATCAACAAATAGCTAGTAATTACTGTAATCATCATCATTATAAATTGCTTAAGACACATTTTAAGGCCCAGTCGATATTCCTTATAACATGATTGCATCATCTTCCCATAGTAGATCTTATAAACCAGTATTTAACTTATATAGTTTTCTTTAAGTAGGGACCATTGCTTAATGTGAGGGTAAAATCTCAGGCTAACAACCCTGAAAACAGAGCTCCAATCTATGACCAGCCATGTACAAGCTAAAAATGCTGGAAGTTAGGTCTGTACCCAATTCTTTCTTCTGAAGTCCCTAAATATAGCTGGGACCAACATTGGGCAATGGCCTTTTCCACTTGTCCCTAACACTTTAAAATAGGACACATACAAACTGCATATCTCCAAAGGTCAAAGGTGGTTGTCACCAACTAGGAATGGAAACGGGATGAGGACCATACTCCATGTCTCCCAACCCCAATCCCTGTTGGGGATAAAAATGACTCTCCATCCCCGATCCCCTTGGGGTGGGGCAGTGAATTCACTCCTCATACCCGGTCGGGTATCACTATCAATCCCCGTCCCCGCCAAGGCAATCTCCATCTCTGACCCCATTGAATTAGGGAAGCCGGGTATTCGACGGGGACAGGAAAATTTCCATCCCTATTACCAACACCTGACAATTTGAAAACATCACAAAGAAAAGAAAAGGAAATTAAGTCCATGATGTACCAAGATACATGCCAAATGAAAACCATGAATCAAAAAGTATTGATAAAACAACTTGTTAATCTACATACTTGTAAATAGCATAGTACAGAACAGGACCGTCATAGAGACATCGGTTCCTATCAAGAGTTGCTAGAAATTCCAGCTGTTGTTTAGCTGCTGCTATGAGGTCTTCACTTACGACAATCTTCTGTGCTTCGAGCCACTCTAGTTCTTGTTCCTTCTCCATTTCTAAGTAGGGGAATTACTAGGTGACAGATACAGAATATCACTCTCCTAGGATATGAATTCAAATAAGTGGAAATTGTTTTCTACGATCCAGTAAGATTTCAAAAGAAATGAAATGAAAACATCAATCGACATTTGCAATATGCTAACCATGGATTCTTTCGATCTTTCTTGAAAATTATGTACCTCAAAACAACGATACTTTATTCTATGATCACCCAAATATCAATACCATTTATTATCATCATTTCTTTCTAACCAATCTGATTAAGATGGGAATATGGGATAACAATAGCAAAAGAGAAAAGAAGTTATTCTAATTCAATAAGAATTAGATCTTGCTCACAATCTACAAATTGCAAAGATGGCATTAGATATTATTATTCAAAATTCAGATGGAATAACAGTGACATAAGAGAAAATCAAGTCAATCAACAATGCAACATCCAACTAAGACCAAGGATTTACATAATTAAACCGGGAACAAAACATCGATAATAGGTAAACAGAACCTCAAAAAAATACTGGCATAGTTATTTGGACATAATTGAACAAAGAATGGGAGTATGAACCAAACTACGTACGACCATTTAAACAAGCAGATGAGTAGATGCAAGGGGTTAAAATCTGAGGAAGTGGAAACACCAAAGTCAACGAGAAGCTACAGTTGGTGCTTTAACGTTCAATTTCTATAAACTATTTACAATAACACTTTGGGGAAATAACAGGAGAAAACGGTTATTTGATTCGAATTGAAGAGCCAACGACGTAACAGGATTATCAAGAAATAATCAAACGCCTATATAAGACTTTTTAATCGAAAACGAGGAGATATCATAGAATTCTACGGAAAGAGCTAAAGACTCACTGTGAATGCTTCGCCGTCGGCCAAGGCTAGGAACTCCCGTCTATGATCAATTCACAGCTTCGGCCACTCTATTTATTTGCCTCTTGCTAGTGGCTTCCTTCTGGTGGGACTTGGGAGTTGGGAGTGGACTGTACTGCATCTGCATTCGGCTCCTCAAACTCTGAATCTGAATCCAAACCCTTCTTCACAAATGTGCAGATGTTCTCCTCAACATCCTGAGCGGAGATTTTGAAACGAGCAGAAACCCTCTATTTTGAAACGAGCAGAAACCCTCTATTTTGAAACGAGCAGAAACCCTTGGCTCTTTCACTCAACCGTGCGGCTCCCTCTTAGTTCTTTCACTCTCTTTTGAAACGAGCAGAAACCCTTGGCTTGGAGAAGATGCGAAGAGTCAATCGCTTGATCGTAAACCTTTCTGCAATTTATCTTGCTCGTTAACCTTTCTCTCTTCTTCAAAATTCCTCTTCCTCTGCAAGGTTCTATGCTGGAAAGACTTCTGCCTTGTCGAATAGGAGCCTTCGCGCGGGAGAAAGAATTTTTTGCCTCCCCGCATTTGGTCTATGGAACCGGAATTTAGACTGGTTTATTTCCGATTTAATTATAAAATCCACCGAAGGTATTAATATAGACTGCTGCATCAGCCTTTAAAACCGATGTAGGCGGCGGTCTTTGGAAGTGCGCCACCTTAAACATCTCTATAGCGGCGGTCACAATGACCGCCGGCTCTAAATCACCGTTGTAGTGTAATTCTCTTCAATCTATGAATTAAGGAGGGATTGTTAATCCCTCTAATATTTTAGAAAATTCCATTCATGAGGAACTGGTTGAGATTTTCTTACCTGGATCAGCTTGTGATCTAGTGAAGGGCCTCGGACCATCTGTAGGGTATATTTTCCTATTTCTCTTCTTCTTTGTTGTGACCTATGTCCAAAAACCACCCCTGGCTTGCCTTTCATCATCAGAGAGACTACACGAAGTTCCTGTTGGATCTACCACCAGCAGAGTATCAAAACATTTTTTCTTCAATCTTTTGTCCAGTATAGATTTGGATTGTTTAAGTTCCTTCAAAGTGGATAACCGATCTGGTTTTCGAGAGGAATCCACTATTTTCTTTGTCTGGTAAAAGCCCATATCATCCACAGTAGGGGTCTTCAACTTTCTTGGGGACTGAAGTAAAAGCTCGACTTTTGATTTCTCTGAGTCAGAGTGGACTTCCATTGTTTCTTGAATCAGATCAGAAATATGTTCTCAAGGCTTCTCCAGAGAGAGAGAGGATCAGAAACTGATGGGTTTTCAGTTTTAGGAATAAGAGAGATGAATGTTTTATTTACATTTCGATTCAGTTTCCCCGAATCAAACAAAGCTTTGATAGTCAAACAAACAGAATCTCCAATAATATTCCAGAATTTCTTAAAGAAAAGAACATTTAACCCATCGGAGCTTTCAAATTCTTCATGGAGAGTAGAGTATTAAAGATTTCCTCATTAGTAACTTCTTGGCTTAATTTCCTCTGGAACTCTATACTTATACTAGAAATGAGGGCAGAGTTCTCATGGGCAGTACTTAATCTGGCATGTTGTGGGTAAACATGGGCAGAGTTCTCGTGGATAGGAGATCCGGAGTTGCTTCATGCATGCAATTAGTGTTATATATTAGTTCTTGCAGCCTTCTAATAACTTCTTCTATCTCCCACTCTGCTGCTCCCTTTGGTAATCAAAGTAACCAATTTTAAAAGCTTTAAGGATTGCCTTGTCAGCAATGTTAGACTAAATAATAGGAGCCCAGATTTCCCACTCGCTTTTTCTACCCACTCTCTACCCGTTGTGAATTGGAGCCACACATCTCTCCCATAGAGTGGGTAGGAAATCCCGAGTGAAATAATAGCACTCTAAACTCTGCCCCGTTGGAAACTTTAATCCCTTCCCGAATTCAGAATTTAAGGCCATGTTTGGTTCATTGCTTTGGGCCTCAATCTTTTAATTTTTGCTCATTTTATGCAAGAATGGACAAAAATGAATAATATTAGTGTTTGGTTACAAAATTTTTGGCATAGGCTACATTCATTTTAGAAGAAAAATTAGCCCCACATCACAAAAATTGAGTAGCCTGTAGAATAAAAATAATCATGCCCCATCTTGCTCATTTTCATTCTCCAAGGAAATTCTGCCTACAAAACTGTTGCCATAGATGTTTACTTTTGCGAAAGTACTTTTACTGAAATACTTTTACATGAAAATACTTTATATAAAAATACTTTAATAAAAGTACTTTTAAATGAAAACACTTTTATAAAACCACTTTTATAAAAGTAAATTTATAAAAAAATACTTTTGCCAAAGTACTCGCATGCGCATGCATGCATGAATTGCGTACTTAGTACTCCCATGCGCATGGCATACATTCATCGGTAGTAAGAAATAGAATGGGGGGTTCGAGTGATAAATGGAAGGATTGATCTTTCCTTTCAGTGCATGCGCTATCATCATTAATACCAGCTTCAGTTTCAGTATTTCGATCGTATAAAATACTACTTCCAGTCTTGATCCAATAAACATAAGAGCAAATAGTCTTCTGAGCGGCAAAACGGAATCTGTCATATGGACAGACCCCACCTCGCCAAGACAGCCTTCATCGTCACCCTGACCAGTCGAGAGGGAAGATGAAGTGCTTTTTGAAGCTGAGTGCTTGCAGGGAGGAATATATATGTTGTTTTGGAACTGCACAGCAGCCCAAGCACCACCTTTGTATTGAAGATATTTCTTGAGAGAATTTGAGGCAAACCACGTACGGAGGCCAGACCTCGACTTCTTCTTCCTCCCTGATCAGCTCAATTAAGCTAGGGAGCAGTAGAAGTACTAGAACAAAGAGGTTCCACCATGCACGCATCTTGGCCGAACTGCAGTTACGTTCTTACTATCAGCAAGATGTTGAGAATTGTAGTTTCAACCATTGAGGAGGCTAGGGCAGAGGTCCTAGCCACAACTGAGAAGATCTTAATTAGATAAAACAATATTGTTAAGCTGGCGAATTCTTTTCTTTTCTTTTTTTTTTTTTTTTTGTTGCCCTAGCTTGATACCCATATCACGCAAGGGCCGTTCAAAGAGGAATACAAATTATCAGAATCCAAACAACTCCACCTGCAAACCAACCCATGCAAAGAAGCGAGAGAAATGAATAAAAACGAAAACAGTTAAAAAAGCAAAAGGGTGAAGCTTACTGCAAACTAATTTAAGTAAGAGTGAAGGTAAATGAGACATCCCTAATCCAAAATCCAGCCATCGCCTGAAGGTCTTTCGGTGTTTTCTCACCGACGTTGATCCGTCGTGAGCACCCCTAACTCAGTGGCGCTGTTGATTACAGCTGATGAAGTCCCACCATCTAAAAGCATGGCTTACACAGACCGATCGATATGCTAGCTTGTGCATGAAAATAAAAGAAAGAAAAAACGGTTAGTAATGTACTGGCGCAGGGTTTTTAAGAAAAAGCAGCAGAGCATCACACATGAGAATTTTGGCAGGGATTTGAAACTTCAATTCATTGTAAAGGGCTGAAGATGCCAAAAGACCCAAACGCCGTCTGTGGGATTCGAACCCACGACCACATGGTTAAAAGCCATGCGCTCTACCGACTGAGCTAAGACGGCAATTCATGTTTTAATAGAGAGTTCATTTATAAAATAATATTGAATATACTCCCTCTCAGTTGTCTCATGTTTTGGAGTAGTAAATGATAATTCCAGAAAGCGAATTCGAAGAATTTTAGATGGCAATCTGCAGGTGAGGGGTGGAGATTTTAAGGCATAGGGGAACCACGACTCCCCTCAAGACCACCACCCCTTTCTCTGCCCCTCGTTTAGGGGAAGTGACACCCCAAGGTTTTTAAAATCGGACGGGACGGGGAACCGTTCTGGGTCCGGTTCCCGTGTCAAACGGTCTGATTGTCTGATTTGAATGGATAGCTTGTCCTGATAAAAAAATTTAAAAATTTTAAAAAATTCAAAAGAATGGCTAAAACAGTTCTTGGGTCAAATGGTTTGATAGACCCAGCATGTGGATATGTTAAGAAAATACATACAAATTTCACAAATAAATTAATTATATTAAATTTAAAGTTAAAATAATTATATGCAAATTCATAATTTTTAATTATTAAAACAATTATTCCATTATTAATATTTTTATTCTATAATTTTTCTAAAATAAAAACCATTTTCTGATGTAAATATAGGTTATTGGATTTGATAGATCAATTTAATATTATATTCTTGAGTATTTTGTAAATAATATTTTTATTTTTGTAAATAATAAATATATTATTTTATTTAAATTAAAATAATAGTTTATAATTTATAAAAGTATATAAAAAATTTTAAGATACTTATTATGTGCAGATTTATAAATTTTAAGTACTAAAATAATTATTCTATTATTAATACATTTTATATAAATTTATTGAGATCAAAAGTCATATTTTTATACAAATATGGATTTGATAAATTATTTATTTCATCAGTTTATAAAATATCAATTTATTAAAATCAAAAATTATGTCAAGTCAATCCCCGAACTTCAAAACATGTATTTGCACTAATATTTTTATATTTTTACTCTTTTTAAATTGAGCACCAAATTCGCCCTTTTAACTTTGTTTTCTTCTTTTCTTCTACCAATGTCGTATGTCTTGTTGAGAAATAATGGTGAATAATGAATTTTCGTCCCAACCATCTGATCATTTCATCTTATATACTTCTGAAGTGACTCCAAATATGCAAATTCAGAGAATCCAATAATGAGGAAGCCAATAACGTACATTAATTTTGGTATGGAAGAATTGCTTTCTGAAATCTTGTGGTTTAGCATTTGGATCATAGTAAAAACCGTTTGACAGGAGTTCAGACCAATCGGTACTATTTGACCTGAGAATCAGTGGGCAAACTAGTTTTATTTTTGGGCTGGTTTTTAAAACCATGAAAATAAAAGTAAATTTACACCATTGTGCTTTTTTTTATATGTTCAAATATTTTGATCAATGTATTTGTTTTTTGTACTATACATATTTGTATTTGTACTCGTTCCAAACAGAGCATGGATTTCATTGGACCAAATTGACTTGTATTCCCATAACCATAAATAAAACTCAATAAATTGTTGCTTTTTCAATGAATCGGACCTCTGCCTCCTCTTTGGAACCCTAAGGTCTTCATTGCAAGCTAAGATAACAACATGGTGATTGCTGAAGGAGTGCTTACAAAATAAATAAATAGTTAAAAGATCACTACAACTAAGGCAATAGTGTACTGACGTGCAATTCAATTAAATTTCATGTTCTTCTGGTCCCCAGAGATTTGTTCACCGCTATCTATATCTATACTACCATTGTTGAATTTGGTCCTTTTATTATAAGGGTAAAAATATATAATTTTAGCTACTATTTATATTAAATTTATTCAATTCCCTCTTATTAAGTCTTACATTTAAAGTATTAACTTCTATCATTCTCATTAAGAGGGTGTTTTGTAGTGTGGATGAGAAATTGGTGAGTGTGGAATGGTCCACACCACACCCTGTGGCAGGGACCAATCC